ACTACGTGGCTGCCCCTCACCAGCTTCCTCTGCGCCCGGTGCCACTGCTCCTTGATCTCCTTCCTCCGTTTTTCATGGTCGAGGCGTCTCACGATCAGCGGCTGAACCGGGAGGGAGAAACAACCCCCGCGGTGCTCTGAGCCCCATGCCCGCTGCGCTTCAGAAGTTCCCCGTGGCGGTTGTTATCGGCCCCCAGCACATCTGGGCTGGGTTGTGGGGAGGGTTCGTGTCAGGGACAAGAATGTGCTGCCCGGGAAGTGCAGATGCAGCTTCCCCAGACAGGGCTAAGCACCAGGGGCATCGGTCCCTCCCCGGGAGGTGGATGCGGGTCGGGCTGCTGGGGAAGGTGGGGATGCAGAGAGGCCTCGGGCAGGGTGAGGATCAATAAGGGGGGGTTCGGAGCCCACCAGCCCCCCTTGCTGCCCAGCCACTGGGGAAAACCCTTCTGTGATGGCTTTTTGTCCTCTCACCTGGAGGAAGGTTTGGTGCTGCAGGGTGCTGGCAGCCTGCAGAACCGACGTCCCGTGCTCCATGTCCTGCTCCAGGGCCAGCAGGTAGATGGACAGGAAAGGCATGCTGGTCTGAGGAGGGAAAAACACACCCCCACCAGCCCCCCTTGCTGCCCAGCCACTGGGGAAAACCCTTCTGTGATGGCTTTTTGTCCTCTCACCTGGAGGAAGGTTTGGTGCTGCAGGGTGCTGGCAGCCTGCAGAACCGACGTCCCGTGCTCCATGTCCTGCTCCAGGGCCAGCAGGTAGATGGACAGGAAAGGCATGCTGGTCTGAGGAGGGAAAAACACACCCTGAGCCCAGCACAGCCGCAGGAGCTGAATGAGCCGCGTCCTCTGGTGCCGTGTTGGAGGAAGAAGAGCTGGAGGCTCAGCTTGGCTGCCTGCTTCAGGGAAAAACCCTGTCCTGGGCCCAGAGAGCGCGGCCACAGGCTGCCCAGACGCTGCTGGAGGGGCCCCGAGGTGTCACCTGCCCGGTCCCTGCGCTGGGGAGGGTGGCTTTAGGGACACGTGGACTTACCTCCTGACTGATGGTTTGCTTGCAGCTGTTTGCCATCTTCTGAAGCCCTTTGGCAAAGTCCATCTCTGGAAGGAAAAGGTTGGAAGTGAGAAGACACAGCAGACACCAGCATTTCCCTGCTGATTGGGTTCCTTTTCCAAAATAAACCAGGAACTTCAGGAACGACGTTCACCACTGCCCTGGCACTATCTGGCTCTCTCAGCCTCATTGATCACAGAGGACCTCGT